AGGAAGGAAGGAAGGAAGGAAGGAAGGAAGGAAGGAAGGAAGGAAGGAAGGAAGGAAGGAAGGAAGGAAAAGAAAGAAATCACAGAGTATCAGGAAAGGGTGCAGAATAGTCGGCTTGTCTTGTTTAAAAAATTCAGTTTTCCTGTTACCGAAAGCTCCCTCCCTCCTCCTTCTACCCCCTCCCTCTACCCCCTCGGTAATGGGCCACAATAATGAACCACATTGTATATTGACAAAATAAAATAAAATTTAAAAATAAAAATAAATAATAAATAAAAATTCAGTTTTCAGTGAAAAACATTGATCCCATGTCTTATTAAAAAACAAGTCACTTTTTAAGACATCTGTATTGAAATTTTAGATGTGTTTTTTGTCACTGTATTGTCTAGTGTCTTAAGTAACAAACATTTGTCATTTTTAGATTTTTTTTTAAGTCACCTCTGCAGTTGGGTTTAAATGTGTATAAACTTGATGTTCAATATCTTAAGATCCAATAACTTGTACACAATTTTACTTACATAGATGTGGAAATTAGATATTTCCAAATATTTGCTGATATTACATATCACAAAATCCTGATAAAACAGTTTATCATTGTTTTCTTCCTTAATATCAGCAATTATACAGGGATTGGTTCTACTATGTTTAGAGAAAATGTTTTAGAAATATTTTAAAGCCTTATATTTCATGTAAGCACTTTTTATTTTTTTTAAAATAGGTAAATCAACAAACTGGGAAGATGATGGTTGGGGAGCATGGGAAGAAACAGAACCCCAAGAACCTGTAAGTCTTTATAAATATACGCATGTCCTTTGATAGTATCATTTTCCTTTTGTAATGATGGCAACACAGTTCAGCATTAGGTTGACATTTTAAAATCTACTATGCCAAGAACATTTTTGTACTTAATACTACTTAACTAGATACTCGTACTTACAGAACTTACTGACTTTATAGCTAAGTGGGTATCTTAGTCTGTTCTGTGCTGCTGTAACAGAATAATGAGACTGATTCATTTATAATGACTCAGTTTATAATTTGTAAACAGTCATTTATAATGAGACATTTATAATGAACAAAAACTTACTGGCTTCATAGTTCTGGAGGCTGAGTGTATTAGTCCATCTCAGAATTACCTGAGACTGGGTAATTTTTAAAGAACAGAGGTTTATTTGGCTTAGGATTCTGGCATGGGCCTCAGGCTGCTTCTACTCATGGCAGAAAGTGGCAGGCAGCAGCAGGTATAAGCAGATCACATGGCGAGAGGAAGCAAGAGAGAGAAAGGAAGTGCCAGGGTCTTTCAAACAACCAGCTCTCACGGGAACTAATAGAGTGAGATCTCACTCAGGACCCCCCACCCCCCCAGGGAGAGCATTAATCCATTCATGAGGGATCCACCCCCATGACTCAAACAGCTTCCAGCACTACCACATTGGGGATCAGATATCCACATGAGTTTTGGTGGGGACAGCACATCCAGACTCACTGGGAAACCCAAGATCAAGGGGCATCTGGTGAGGGCCTTCTTGCTGTATCATAACATGGTGGAAGACAAGGGGAGACAAGAGAAAGAGAAAAAAGGGGCTGACCTCCTCTTTTATGATGAACCCACTCCCCCAATTACAAACCCACTCCCTGGGGTGGAATGGATTGACAGTACTAATCCATTCACTGTGTCCTCATGGCCTAATCACTTCCCATTAGGCACCACCTCCCAACACTTGCATTGGGGATTAAGTTTCCAACACATGCTTTTTGGGGGACACATGTAAACCATAGCAGTGGGCTAAATGGAGAATAGTTGTTTTAGGATTCTTTATCCTTCACTAGTTATTCTTTTAGGCTGCTTATTCATTCAACAAATATTTGTTTTGCTTACCGTGTTCTAGACATTTTTCTAGGTGTTGGGAATAAAGCAATGAACCAGGATTGGAAGAAGTGGAATGTCTTGATGTCAACTTATGGTTGTGTTGAGGCGCTATAATTGAAAACAACGATAGAGTTCTCCACCAGTTGCCATTGGGTTGAGGCTAAGATGCCCAACAGAGGAAAGTAAACTTTTATTCTCCGTTAGTCTGGCATTAGAGAGATGTTGTGCTTTGGTCTTTAGGAGTGCTGCAGTGATGTGGAGATAAGCCACAGGTAGGGGTAATGAAGCAAAGTGGAGCAACAGCCACCGCCACTGAATGCTGACCCAGAGGCCAGTTGGCTGCTTCTGCATTCAGCAGAGACCTGTAAGAACTCCAGGTGCTTTTCACCTTCACAAGTCTTTTGTTAGCTCTTTGGAAGTAGTTTCTTATTCTTATGGCAGAAGAGAGAAAAGAGCTTTTGTTTTGAGAGACTTAGTACCAAGGGTTTTTTAAGAAATGAGAAAGCCTCTTTAGCTTTTTTTTTGATTCTGAGGTGTCAGCTATAATAAGAGCTTAGAGAAGAAAGCATGTTTTAATATCCACTATCAGCAATTGCCAGCCACATCCAAGAAAGTATGTATCTATGACACTGGTAGGCTTAGGAGCTTAAAGGATGGCTTCCATTGTAGAAGACAAACGCCTTTCTCCTGTAGATATTTCATGCCTGTATTTGTCTGCTTGGGCTGCCAGAACAGAATACCACAGACTGTATGGCTCAGCAATAAAAATAAGAAGACAAACGCCTTTCTCCTGTAGATATTTCATGCCTGTATTTGTCTGCTTGGGCTGCCATAACAGAATACCACAGACTGTATGGCTCAGCAATAAAAATTTTTTTTTTCACAGTTCTGGAGGCTCGAAGTCCAGGATCAAGGTGTCACTTGTGTTGGTTTATGATGAGGCCTTTCTTCCTGGCCTATAGACAATTGCTTTCTCTCTGTATCCTTACTTGGCCTTTCCTCTGCACATGTGCAGAGAGAGTGACTTCTGATGTCTCTTCCTCTTCTTATAAGGACACCAGTCGTATAGGATAAGGCCCCACCTGTATGACCTCATTTAACCTCAGTTACCTCTTTAATTGGCCTCTTCTCCAAACAGTGTCACACTGGGGGTTTAGTGCTTCAACATTTGAATGGGAATGGGGGACGTAATTCAGTACATAAAAATGCACAAAATAATGGGTCCATGTCAGGCATAACTCTGACTGCAATTGGGTAAGTTAAAAGAATAAGGTTAAGGAATTCCTTCTTGTCCATAAGTAAGTAAAATAAAAGATAGAAAAGGTATACAGAACAGGCTTTCAAAATGTATTGTAATGGAAAAAGGCAAAATAAAGATCTCTCTCTATACCAACTAGATTTTAAGTGGCATCATGATAAGACAGTGGCTGGCTTGGAAAAATTAGAAAAGAAGGTACATGTACTACGTCATATACTGAATGATGATCCTTTAACAAATAGTAAACAAGTTTTTTTATGTGTTTTTTTTTTAACAGTGTTACAAGAGCTTTTAGTTGGGATTATAATTTTTTTGCTATAGGAAAGAAGTGATTAGAGGGGCATATTTTGCTCAGCTTCATGCTGTAAAGGGAATTGAGGCAGTTTGGGAAGAAGCCTTAAAAGGGTTAATTTAACTGGCAAAGCAGATTTAACAGGCTTTCCTTTACTGGTATATTAAGGCCAAAGGATAGGAAGTATAGAACTGAGGATTTGCTTGATAGTAAAAGTAAATAGGTAGTGGTAAATTGGTAGTAAATGGGTAGTTGTTACTGGAACAGGAAGCACAGGAAGGCTCTGGTTTGAGGTTCTCAGTTAAAGTGGGCAGCATGGAAAATTTCCATTCAAAAGACATGTTGAAATACGCTCCGTCTGTTGTACAGAAAGTATAATACAGTTTACAGTTTCAATTATGATTTAGCAGATTAACAGGGAATGAAAACATGCTGGTCAGATAGAGGCCCCAGAAATGTTTGTTTACAGGCCGAGAAATAGAATATAGCATGACCTGATTAAAGATTCTTAGAGCATTAATAATCTAGGATGATACTGGAAAATCTTTTGCCTTATTTCATTGTTTTCATTAGTCTCTGGTGCCATCTGCCACATAGCAGACATAAGCACCAGATTGGCCAGAGGCAGAAGGAGAACACTCAAGATATGCTAAGGTGTTTCCCTAGGTTATCCTTGTGAGGAGTGGCAGAGAGTCTCTTGCCTAAGGTCAGTTCTCATTGGAACCTCGGACCTTACAACTTCTAGAAATAGTTCATTTTGCCAACGACCTTCCTCTCAACAAGCTGGTTCTAGCCCAGTGATTCTCATCTGGGGATTGAAAATGCCCTCAGTGGACATTTGGCAATGATTTAGCATTGTATGGAGACATTTTTGGCTTTCGCAATTTGGGGCAGGTGCACCTCGTGGGTAGAGGGCAAGGATTCTGCTAAGCATCTCACAATCCCCCTAAAACAAAGAATTATCCAGCCCAAGATGTCAGTAGTGCTGAGGTTCAGAAAGCTTGGTTTAGCTCATGGCTTTTAGTGTAACTCACCCAGTCTGTTTTTCTACCTTTCTCCATTTTTGTTTTCCAAAATTTCTTGGCCTTTTTTGGGAGGCTTTAAAGCATTTGATCTGTAAGACCATTAATTTAGTTTTAGTAGATTCTGGTGAAGTGATTTGCTGGTGTGGAAAGTGCAGTTAAATGATTGTTTGCTGGCAAAAAAAGGTGAATTTAAGTTCTGGATCTTTTTGACCACAAAGCAACAGATAGTTCAGGCCCAGTCTTGGCATTATTTATACCTAAATGTTTAAGAGAGACCTGTTTCAGTCTTCTCATGTTTTCAGCTGCCACTTTTCCTTTCTCTTGTTTACAATTGTTAATTTTAGTTCAAATTTGCATTCCTGAGGCATTCCCACAGGGTAGCTTCTGAGTGAGTTTTGGCTTGGTGGTGGGATCTCTGGTCTTCTGCCAAGGATTTGGCTGGGTGGAGTGGGGAAGGGGACCTGGGAACCTGACTGCTGGTTAAACACATTTGCAAATAAGCCTCCTGAATTCAGCCCTACCCTTGCCCTCACTTCCAGAGGGACTTGGCACCCAGCTCCTCAGCCCGTTGGCAGTTTTGCAGTGCAACTGGGGCTGCTTCTCAGCTTGCCTCTCCTTCAGTTTAGGAAATAGTTTTCTAGGGACTGTGAAATCAGTTACCACCTGTCCATTCGCTTTCTAGCTCTCAAAATTTTGTGGATTTTCTCCTCTCATTTTTTTATGCTCTTACTGGTTTTGCCTCTTTAAAGAAAATTATTTTACTGTTGTTTTTAATGGTATTTTGGTGCTGGGGAGAGTGAGAGTAAAATTCATGTGTTTAATTGACATTTTTTGCCTGAAAGTCCCAAAAAACTTTACACACTATTTTTTCTTTTTCTATTTAATGTAATTTGGAGGTTTTTCCATATCTGTACATAAAAATTCTCATTCTTTTCAAGGAATACTGTTTTATTGTATAGATAGATGCACCATGATTTATTTAATTCATGCCTCTATTGAGGGACATCTAGTTTTTATGTGTTCTTTTTCTTTTACTTATTTCTTTTTTTTCCCTTCTACTACAGACAATGCTGCGGTAAGCATCTTTACATCTATGTGCATCTTTGGTTACACCTGGGCTGTAAAGGGCTCGTTATTGTGAGTCAGACTGCCTGAATTTCTATCCCAATTCTGCCACTTACTAAATTAGAAACCTTGGGCAAATTACTTCTCTGAGCTCAGTTGCCTCATTTCTAAAGTGGAAATAATAACTATTAATCCTCATAGGATTGTTATGAGGATTAAGTGAGATGTGCTTAGAATGGTACATGCAACATAGTAAGTGCTCAATGAATGTTA